CCACAACAGCTACTCTCTATATCCAAAATTTTGTAATTAATTTCTTACCAATTATGAATTATAGCTTTAGCTGTACTGTACTCATCAAGCTATGATAGTGGTTTTTTTTTCTTCATATATATATAAATATATAATTAACAATTTGATTTTGTGCCATTGCAAAAAATTTAATTAAATTTAAAATTTGATTTTAATTTTAATAGCCAAATGTATAAATATCATCGAGCAGATTTGATTTAATAGTAGGCACATGCTTTCCATTTTGCTCAAAAGGGCGAGGCCGCTATATTCCTAATACTACTAGTTTTTTTCTTTCTCTTTTTTTTTTTTAAATTTTTTGGGTAAAAAATACTCCTAGTTAGTTTCTTCATTAATTCAATTTGTTAATGCAAACTAATTTATTATTATTGTTGGTGAATATGGTCCCAAACCATTGGGTGATCGTAATCAATTTTGTGCCAAAAAGATGTGTTCATAATTTATTATTATGGATGTGTTTCTAACCAATAACAGGGTTTCACAGTAACCATGATTATGACAATTTCACCGTATTTTTTTTTCTCATGTGCTACTTCAAGTTGCATGAACCTGCTGACAATTTTTGCCAAGAAAATTTCACTTTAAAGATTCCTTATTTGGTCAAAGACTTGAAAGTCCGAGATAACATTCATAGAAAAGACATTACCAAATCCTAGCAAGGTATAAAGAAATTGTTAATCTTTGCCTTTTCGGTTGATGCATGGCAATTCTTGAACATAATCATTTATAAGGTGATAGTTTATTTTTTCTGTAAGTGCTTTGATTTAGTAATAAATCTTTTGTCCTGAAAATTACTTTGTAAAACGTTTGATGATTTGATTCAATAATAGATACATACATACATACATATACATATATATATATATATATATGATCGGTTTAATTAATTCAAAGAATTTTGAGTCCTTCTATCCCTTTTTCCAAATAGAAAAGAGAAAAATTGCTCCAAAATGATCAACTGCTTTACTAATTCAAAGTACTTGAATTGGTTAATCTCTCTCATGATAATAAGAGTATTAGATTAGTTTACTCTATATTTAAATCATCTTTTATTGGGATGAAATAATAAATTATGTAAACCCAGAGTTTAAATTAGTTAGTTGATGCAACCATCTTTAAGAGATGATATTTAATAAATACGGAGTTTAAAATTTAACACATGTAACTACTTCTTCTAATCTCATCCTACAATCTACTTTATATATAAGAAAAAATAAATTTTACTTATTTAATTAGCCAATTAAATTGATACAAGCAATGGTTGTGAAAAATAAATCTAAAGACAATAGTTTTTATTTATGCAATTATCAATTAAACTTGATTAATTAATGGTCTAAGAACTTGACTTTTAAGTCAAAAGATGATATGGAAAAATGTTGTCTTTTAAGGCAGCAAAGGATTGTCTTGAAGACCAAGTAAGACTACTTTGTTTTGATTAGTGAGATAAAATAAACTTCTAAGTTAGATTTACAAAATGTGTAAAATGAAATTGAATTACTCCTTTTCTATTTCCATTTCCATGTGTAACTATTACAGTAACTACAAATTATTGAGAAAGAGATTTCTTATTAGATTTTGTATCAACCATTCAAGTTTGCTTTCTCAATGCAAAGAACAATTGCAATATCGCACCTTCTTTTCAATACTTTTTCCCATTCATATCATTATTAAACTATAATATTGTTTGGATTGAAATTGTACCTTAAGCATTAAGATTACAATTTCTAAAAAATCTTGACAGCCTACCAAGATACTTGCTTCTAGGATAGAAACAAATTTTCTTTCCTTAAAATTATTTTTTTTAAAAAATAAAAAAAATAATATAAGGGAAAAAGGGTTTTGACTAAGTTTTTTAAATGCAAATGTGTTTTAAACAATAGACCAATCATCACAACAACATAGACTTTGTTAAATTGTGCCATCATTATGCCCTCAATGTTCTTAGTTAATCTATATTCCTCTTTAATAAATGACTATTATAATAAACCAAGCTTTTTTGGAAGGATAGTTTATATGAAGGGAATGGGATGCTTTACCATATATAAATTCAAAACTTTGCAATATTTTAGGGTGAGGTAGTCTTTATCATTTTATCAAAGGACTATTTCATGGTTATAATTTTTTTTATGGTTATTTTTTTGATATAGTTAGTGAATAGTGATCCTATAAAAAGGAATATTATTACTTTTTTTGGAATATAAAATTTTTTTAGTTTTCAATTGAATATGTCTCTCTTCCTACTCTCACAAATCTTAATGTATCTCACCTTGTTCATTGTAAGATTCGAATATGAAATTTATAAGTGAAGTCTTAAATATAATTATTGAAACGTTTCTTTGAAGATTAGAAGTTAAAATAATAAAAACTTTTTATAACTAAATGAAATAAAATTTTTGCAAAGTAAATGAAATAAAATTGATTAAAGAGAATAATAACAAAATTATGAGATCTCAATGTTATTATAAATAACAAAATTATTTATTTATTAAATAATGAAATAAATAATCAAAAATTTATTTATTTTATTATAAATAATAAATGTATATTAAATATATAATTGCATATGTTGTGCATAAATAACTAAAATTTACATATATATTTATATTAACGGAAAGAGACACGTATAATGCATATATATCATAATTAATTATAATGATTGAGGAGATCTCAATGTTGGATGTATATGAAAATTTGTACATGACAAATAACACATACCATATTCAATCATAATGCACATATACCATAATCAATCATAATTCGCATACAACATAAAACTCATATGGATTATAGACAACTAATATCAAAGAGCTTTAGATAAATAAATTTTGTACATGACAAATATCATTGATAGAGATTGATTAAGGAGATCTCAAGGCGTTTAAATTTCTTTATTCATAACCTTAAACAATGTTCAAAACATTTTTCTTTGCCAAATAAACATGTTTATAACCTATGGATCTTATAATATGCTAATTGTGGAGATAAAGTTTTATTTATATGACAAGCTCTTGACTTCTATGTTCTAATAGTCAACATCTTTTCTAAATGTGCTTGATAAAAATGTTAGAACTAATTAGGTGCATTTATATGATTATTGCAACTATAGTGGTTAGCAAAACAACACTTTCAAGTAACTTTAGCAATTTTATTGAACTAATTGAAAACTTTTTTCTTGCAACATGTTTTCTCTTAAGTCATCATTGATAATTGTTATTTTTTTTCTTTCTTTGAAAAGAAAAACTGAGATTTTCTTTGATAGATGCTTTTAGTTTTATTTTTACTAATGAAAGTTTAAATAAATAAATAAAAAACCATTTTGGGTATGAGAGAAAATAATATTTTTGAATTATAAATAAAATATGTAATTTCTTTAAAAACAAAAATGTATGATTGTACTTTTATACAGATTAATTATGTAACAATTGATGCATTTTAATTATTTAAAAAATTTAATCAATTAGAATTTTAATTTTACCTTTCACGTTTACTTTATAACAATTTTTCGAAAAACAAAAAGCACATAACAAAGAAATAATCAAGAAAACCCAAGAAAAAAAAAAAAAAACAAAGACAACATATTTGCTTCCTAGTAATTTATAATGGTTTTGTTGTCTAATACTCAAATTTAGGAAACAGCTTGGTTCAAATCATCAATATAACCTTGAGTTGACAAAAGACTATTTTTTTTCATTATTATTCTAGATCATAAATCATTTGACACACAAAAAAAAAAAAAAACTAGTGTTAGTAAAAAGAAAGACAAAGCATTTAAAGACAATCATGAATAATAAAAAATTTGCAATGTCAAGACTCATTTGAAAATTCCAATACCAACCAACCAATATTTAGCCTAATTAATTTATATAGTTATTTTTAAAAAATAAAATTTAATAAATTTAAATTATAATATTTATAATATTTATTCTTAAATTATGACTTTTTTTTAATAAAAAATCTAATAACAAAGTATTTTATGGTTCACAAAAATACAAACACAAGCATTTGTAATAGTAGAATTAATGGATTTTTATTTACATTTAATTCATTTAATTTTAGTTGGAAGATAGAAAAAAAGTAATTATAACATGAAATGTGGTGGAGCAACATATACTATAGATGGGACTCCTCTACTCCAAAACCAAAAAAAAAAAAAGAAAGTGACTGATCCTTCAATATTGGTAGAATTAAGAATTAAGCATATTTTCTTCGTATCCAAGAATATAGCTCAGCAACTAGAATTTGAGATTCTTAATTCAGAAGCATTTAAATCAAGTTTATTGAATAATTCAAGATTACTTCTTTTGTTTTCTTAATTCTTAATTTAATTATTAAATATATACAAATAAATACAATTATTATTATCCTATACATCGAACATTTTAAAAAAATTATAAATAAGTTCATACACACATGTTTAGATGTTTATATTAATTTATTAATTTCGTTATTCAAAACTAAATGGATATAGGATAAATTTACAAATTTGTTCATGTAATTTAAAAATTTTACCAATAATAAATAAGATAATTTTTTTAATTTTTTGTATGTATATAAATTTGATAATTTTAAATACGAATAATATAAAAATTATAAAATAATGATACAATTTAAAATTAAAAAATTTATATAAATTTAATAAAAATAAAAAAATACATTTATATTTAATTTGTTATATAAATATAAAAAATATTATGATAATTTTTATGTTTTATATGTTTTTTTAAAAATAATTATAATAAAATTTTAAATAAAAAATTGGTTTTTTCTCGCAAAAAATTTGCTATTGAAAGATGAAAAGATTGATTGAACATATAGAAAACGTAGAAGGTGATGTGATGAAGGGTGAAAAGGAAGTGACCAAGTCTGTCCAAAATTTTATGACGTGGCGTAAAGTAATTGACCCCCCAAAAGTATAATTTTATTTAAAAAAAAGCCAAAATTTTTATTACGTGTCACTCCTTTGTAAATCGGGGCGCCTCTTCCTCTTCTCCTCTTAAAAAAAAAAAAAAATCAATAAAACAAAATAAAATTTCCTCTCTCTTTCATGTAATTATAAATATTAAAATTTCTCAGATCTTTCTCTTCTTTGATCTCTCGTTTTTCTTTTCTTTTGTTTTTTTTTCTCTCTCATTTTCTTTCTGAACAAACAGGATTTATGTTTCAGTTTCCTATTTTCATTGTGAGGAAAAATATTTCACATTTTAATACACGAAAAAGGGCAAAAGGATGTTAGCGGTTTTTTTTTTTCTTCTAATTGTCATTGTGAAAATTCACAGGTACGTCTCTTTCACCTGAAAATTTCTTTCATTTTCAATAAATTTCAATCAAATTCCCTCATTTTCCCCATTTCGTTTGATCCAATTTTTTTTTTTTTTTGATTTTTTTGTATGAAGTTTTTGACTTTTGGAATTGTTATCAGGTGAAGAAATGAATTTGGGCTATGTTCGTTTCCAATTTTAGGGATAGTCTTTTTTTTTTTTTGAATTTTTGTTTTTATGATGAATTTTGTAAGCCAAATTAGGGTTTGGTTTTGTTATTTTTGGTATATTTTTTACAAAGTTGTGATCTTGGGTACATTAGAAGGCAAATGAAGTAAGGGGGTTATTTACATTAGAAAAAAGAATCAGGTGTAGAAAAAAAATGACAGATTTTCAAGCTTTACAACAAAAACCAGAATCCGCAAACGATGCCAGAGCTGAATTCGAAAGGGGTTTGGAGGAATTAATGAGAGGGCATTTAGATGATTGTATGTCATTTGCATCATGCAGTTCGAATAGAAATCCTGATGATGAGGATGATGAGGGTGATCAACTTGTTAGGAGGAGGAGAAGGTCTGATCTTGAAGGTGATGACTTAGCTGAGTCATCCGCTGCTAGAAGGCGACATTCTAGGATTTTGAGTCGGTGGGCTGCTAGGCAGGCTCAGGAAATGATAACGACGATGGAGAGGAGGAATAGGGAGTCTGAGTTGATGGCTTTAGCTGGTTTACATACTGTTTCGATGCTTGACTCTTCATTCTTGAGAGAGTCACAGTCGCCTGTATCTAGGCGACAAGGGGGGAATATTGAGAGGCCTAATACTCAGGCTTCTTCGATTTTGCAAATGTGGAGGGAGTTGGAGGATGAGCATTTGTTGAATAGGGCGCGAGAGAGGGTGAGGGAAAGGTTGAGGCAGCAAAGGAATGCTGATAGTAATACGACAATGTCTAGTATGACTTTGTCTGAGAGTCGCGGGAGTGAGAATCATGGGAGTGTTGTGGATGTGAGTGAGAGTGATAATGAGTATGGAACTTGGTCGCATGATCAGGGTGTGTCACAGAATGGTCATGGAGGTAATAATGGATCTAGTAGGGAGCAGTCTCCTGATCTTGGTGAAGTCGAGAGGGAGAGGGTGAGACAGATTGTTCGGGGATGGATGGAGAGTGGGATTAGTGATCATTCATCCAATCTTACCCAAAGGGCTGGCAGTCCAAGAGCTGAATGGCTTGGTGAAACAGAGCGTGAGAGAGTTAGAATTGTCCGGGAGTGGGTGCAAATGACAAGTCAGCAGCGAGGAGTTCGTGGGGGACGGAGGGAAGATCCGGCAGCTACAATTGGTGCACAAGTTGATCGAGTTCGTGAAGGCTCAGTTGCTGACCATGATGAAGGCCAACCAGAGCATATTCGGAGGGACTTGCTGAGATTGCGTGGAAGACAAGCAGTAATTGACTTACTTGTGAGGATTGAAAGAGAAAGACAGAGGGAACTTCAAGGCTTGTTGGAGCACCGTGCTGTATCTGATTTTGCTCATCGTAACCGCATTCAGGTCAGTTGGCTATCATGAAGTTTGTTAAGTTTGAGCATCTCTAAGACAGTAGTAGCTCCCTTGCATTTGTTTATGCTGCATACAATACTCTTCTTTCCTTAAGTGAACTATATTCAGCTATACTTTGTATATTTATTTTTAACTTTGCTAATTTGCTGAAAATATCTCAAACTTGTTGGAGTTTAAATTGAGTTAAATTAAACAATGCACATTTTAGTTTTCTACTAATTCAGTGCTATTTGGTTTTGCACAAATGGTGTAGCGTACACATATGCTATCTCTTGATTTGTGTATTTTTTATATTTGTTTGTAATAAAAGGATTTCAATTTGTTCCCTTCATGATTGGATGTTAGTCCATGGTTTGAGTCAAGGTTTTGAGTCCAATATATATTGTAGTTTCATGTGGCATTAACCTGTTTCAATAATAAGGTACTAAGGATGTTCTACTTTAGATCAAGAGCCATTTTACTGGGAACTTTATTGGAACTATGCCCGTTTTATTGGCTCAACCCTTGGCTGGACGAAATTTCTGGTTTAGTTGCTCAAGAAGCTTGATCTATTTACTTTTCTAGGATCAATGTGAAGTGATTAGATTTTCTTATAAGGTTTATGGTTCTCCTTTGACCAACCAATAAATAAATAAGCAATTAACAAAAGGGAAAAAATGTGAAACAGAGAAAGCTTGACTCTAGCTTTAAATATTCAATATCAATGGGAGGATCTGTTGCGAACTTTTCTGCTGTGCTGTTCTTTAATAAGCTTCAACCTCTTTAATATTGGATAGATCCATTTGAATGGTGTTAGTAGTCTTCATCTTGTACATATTGATTTCTTGAACTATGAGTCAATGGTGGATGACTGTGACCTTTAATTATGTTCTAGGCTGACTTAAGATATCATAATACATATGGATAACTTATCTATTTTCATATTTCTATTTTTTAAGAAAGTTTACTTCTTAAATACATTTTTGTTACTTTAGTTTATCACTATCCCCCTCTTTGGTTCTGCCGTATAAGAATTAAGATACAGATATATTCATGCTTGGCTGGAACTAGGAGGACATGTGTTTTTTCTTTCTTTATAGAAGAATAATACTTGTTATGTCACGGTTAGGACTGAAAGTAACATTAATTATGATGTTTTTAGAAAATATTTTAATTTTTATTAAAGTAAAAATTATTTTGATGTTGGAATTAGCTTTTATACATCACTCCTGGACTATTGTGTAATCATGTGTCTTGACTCTTGATGTTAATATACTTTTTTGGTTTTGCTCAAGGAAGGTCCTTTTGTATAAGGTTTTTTTGTTTCCATATGTGGCCATGCTTAACTACCAGTACTTTTTACTTTGCAGTCACTACTCAGAGGTAGATTCTTACGAAATGAAAGACCTGCTGAAGAGGAGAGACAACCTTCAGTGGCAGCGAGTGAATTAAGTCAATTAAGACAACGGCACACCGTATCTGGTTTGAGGTAGGAATGTTTTTCATTCATACTCACATTAAGAACTTTTTGAAGAACTTGTCACTGTTATTAAAAAATTTTTGGTGATGTTTTTTCAAAGGTTGATGTATGCGAAACAATGATGTTACAAGCAGAGGAATTTTGGCATATGATATATAGAACAAGATGCATTGCTGTAATAATTGGGATTTGTTGTTTAGGATTGGCAATCTTGTTACATTTTTTTAATATACTGTGCAGTTACACCCCATTTAGAGGAAAAAGGGGTTTGGTTTGTTGTTCTACTAACAGTTATATATTAATTATATAACCTTCTGTGCATGAGAAAATGGAACAACTTAGTTTATTTTTGTTTTGCTTTCGTGCTTTTTGTTTGAGAAACATAAAAGGAGATATTGCCTGTAAACAATGAGAGGTATGCAGTGTGTATGGTTTTTTCTTATAGAAATGAGACATGGATCACAAGTGCAGAGTCAATCGACCTGCGTTTAGATTATTGCTTGAACAATTCTGTGCAATGCTCTTTTCAGCTCATTCAAGCATGAAGCTCTCATTCCATTGATTTACATAAAAGCCAATTCTTTCTCTCATTCAGGGAAGGTTTCCGCAACAGATTAGAAACAATTGTCCGTGGTCAAGCAAGTAGCAATTCTGAAACCATATCTAGCAATGTCATCAATGATTCTAGAAACGAACTTTCCCACACAAGCATGTCACCAGACATCCAACGTGCAAACAATGAGCAAACACAACCGAGGAGTATGGAAAGTGACACCGGACGGGTGCCCAATCAAACAGGAGATGTGATTAGCAACATGGATGTTGAGAGCATAAGTTGGCAAGAAAATGCTAACCAAGGTGGGAATTGGCGGGAACCAGCAACCAATAATGAGAGAGGAAACTGGCAACAGCCAACGTATACTCAGTTTACTGAATGGAGAGAGGGCAACACAGAAGAAATGGATACAAATTGGCAAGAAAGTTCAGTTAGTGAGTATGGCCAAGAAATTCCTGGAAATGTAAATGGAGAAGAAAGTCATCCACAGGAAGCCCAGAGGGTTTGGCGTGAGGATGGCTCTCGGGAAGCCGTTGATAATTGGTCAGAAGGGCCTTCTGATCCTCCAAGAGCACGTCGTGCAATCCCAGTTAGAAGGTTCAATAGATTTCATCCACCTGAAGATGATAATGTGTATAGTATGGAACTTAGAGAACTTCTGAGCAGGTATTTGATCACGTAATTGGTTTTTTATGCCTAAAGTAAACTATGACTTCTTTGATGGTTGATGTAATTTAATTTGTAGGAGGAGTGTCTCTAATCTTCTTCGAAGTGGTTTTCGGGAAAGTCTAGACCAATTAATACAGTCTTATGTGCAAAGACAAGGTCGTTCTCCCATTGATTGGGATCTGCATAGAAACTTGCCAACTGCAGCCTCACCAGAGCGTGATCAAGAGCAGCAGAGGGATGAAACAAATGATGATCAGAATGATGCTATTAACAGGCCTTCACTGGTGCTACCTTCTCCTCCGGTGCCACCTCCACAGCCATTGTGGCATCAGGATTTACATCACACTAGCTGGTCTAGGCACAGCATGCATAGATCAGAAATTGTGAGCCATCTTTCTTATTCTTGCACCTGTATATTACCTTAACTATTGAATCTTATCATTTCTATTCTGTTCTTTATGGAGTGTTGTGTTAGATTTAAGTTTTCTCTTGGAATAATTTGTAAAATATAGAAGTCAGCCCTAGGAATTCTGATTGAGTTTCATACCAACGGTAAAATTATTTGTGGAAATGATCCCATTTGGAGAGACATGTTGTCTGATAAGTAATTGAATTATGTATCAAGGATTTTGTTTTCCTCCCTAATTGTGGTTGTTACTTTTGTTTTTCTACCCAATTGTGAAATTAGTAATAATAACCAAGTTTTTAGAAAACTCTTTGGGTGACTGCTGGTATTAATTGTGCTACCTCTTTTGTATCATTATAAGTCTTGGCAAGTTTATATATGCTGAATATTTTCTGAAAATAGGCCCAGATCTCTTATTTTCAGTCCCTGTATGGTACTTTTCATTACTCTGCATCTTTTAAGTTATTTATGAGGGTGCTTATTTTGAGCAGGAATGGGAGATGATTAATGATCTAAGAGCTGATATGGCAAGACTCCAGCAAGGCATGAGCCACATGCAGAGGATGCTGGAATCCTGCATGGATATGCAGCTGGAGTTACAACGATCTGTCAGGCAGGAAGTCTCTGCTGCTCTGAATCGATCAGCTGGTGAAAAAGGTTTGTAAATCCTCCCAACTTTTCTTTTATGCAAACCATTATCTGGGTATTTTTTTTTTCTTTACCTGTGCCATGGGGTAGTTTTGATTGTTTCTATTCTTAATTTTTTACTTGCATTACAGGTTTTAGTGCAGAAACATCAGAGGATGGGTCTAAATGGGGTCATGTGAGGAAAGGGACTTGCTGTGTTTGTTGTGATAGCCATATCGATTCACTTTTGTACAGGTTGACCTTTACTTTTCTAAAACTTTCCATAGTCAAATCATCCGTTAGCACTGTTGTATGTACATATGTGAAAGAATGATTTGAAACTTCTTTTGATACTGATTATATATCACAATTGTATTTTCACATTAAAAAATTGGTTGCAGATGCGGGCACATGTGCACTTGTTCAAAATGTGCGAATGAGTTGGTTCGTGGTGGAGGAAATGCCCATTGTGTCGAGCACCTATTGTGGAGGTAATCCGTGCATACTCAATACTGTAAAGACATGAAACAACAGAAAAAGAATTGAACAGAATGACTGGTAAGGTCTAAGAGAGCCGAAGTCAGTTTGCAGTTCTATTCTGTAGAGTGTTAAGTTGTTGCCGGTGCTTTTCTGATTATATGTGGAACACTATGCAGTGTATAGTTGGAATAACAATTGGCATCATCGATTCATCATTCATGCGTTAATAAAATGTCGTCCATAAATTTTTTTTTTTTTACCTCTCCTCTATCCTCCCTTCATGACTAGTTCTGGCAGCCCCCATTTGATTAGATATGTTCATCCTCCTAGGGTGATCAAATAAGCTTCCCCCGGAAATCTGCTCTGTGAATGCTAAATTATTGGAGTTTAAACAGTTAGCAGGGATTGTAAAATTTGAAACCCAGCGTCGGAAACTTGCACATGATTTTATTTTTGTTTACTATGAATGGGTAAGAGGTTTCTATAAATGGGTAGTGAAGAGTTGAACTGTCATATACCATTCAACTTTATTTAAAAAATAGAGTTACCTAGCTAAATAAAGTGAAGAAATTGCAATGGGTTTCTGTTATTCATAGATTGTACAATTGTTTGATGTTTGGATTCCAATTCGTAAGGAGATTGTTAGATATTTGGATTCGAATTCATTAAAAGGTTAGGATGTGAGAAGGTAAATTTTTTATGATTTTGTTAAATATGACTTAGACAAGTTTAGTTATATCCGTTAAGTAAATAAATGAGTTGGTTAAAATTCAATAACTTTTTAAAAAATTGTTCTTTATTTAAAGTGGATTTCAATAAAAAAAAAAAAAAAAACCAAACAAATGGACTTTGTGACGTGCGGTAGCCAACAATTGGGTGGGTTGCTTTGTTGTTATTTCTTACTAAATCAAATCACATCATTTGCTTTCCGAAATATCAGTACTCCTATTTATTGTCGTTTCCATTACCTTTTCAATGACAGTGCAAAAAAAAAAGAAAAAACGATAAAAAAGGTATATAAACTACTGTTATTTTCACTTTTTTTTTCCTTACTTATAGAAGTGAAGTATAATTTTTCTATAAAAAAAATCCATTATGAATATATGAAAAAAATTTATATTTGATATACTATTAGTGAATCAGATAATGATAATTTATTAATGAATAATAATTAATTTTTAAAATAAATATATATAAATTAAAATATTTATTAATGAAATATTATTATTTAATTTATCTTCTTAATAAATTATAATTATTTGATTTATTGATAATTTATAAAATTTATGCATTAATAATATATAAATTATAAATTCATACGATAATCAATCACATTTGATACCAATTCACACTAACTAAAACTTGTGAAAAAGTTAAAAAAAATGTTTAGAAACAATCTTAGTCTATTGTCTGTTTTACCCGAGAGTTAAAATCTAAGACTAAACTCTAGATTTATTCTAAAAAAAAGATTAAACTCTAGACTTGATTTATATAAATTATGTTTTTTGGAAAAAAGAAATATGGTTCAAGTATAAATTTTATTCAAAATATCACCACCAATTCTTACCAATTTCTCCTGGCTCTCGATATTTTTGTTAATAAGTTTTTAACTTTACAAGCAAATTTAAGATTATGATATATGTTTCACTTATTTTTTAAATTAATTTTTTTTATTTTTAAATATACACAAAGGGACAAATATCATCATCTCAATTTTACTTGTGAAGTTAAAAAATTTCACTGTTAATGTATTAAATAATTTTTATTAATTTATTAATACTAAATTAATTTATCATATTTTATACATGTGATTATTAATCTTGATTAAATGCTCTTAATTATTATATTTAATTATGCTTTCCATTATTAATTTTTACACGTATGAAGATTTTGGAACATTTCATCAAGGTATTAAAATAAAACATTTTGAAAAAAAAGTCAATGAATCGTAACGCAATAGAGTTATAGTTAATAACAGTAAGAGATAAATGTTACCATTTTAACTTTGTGTGGAGTTAAAAAATTTCATTGTCAATATATTAAATAAATTTTTTTAATTTATTAATAATAAATTAATTTATCATATTTTATACATGTGGTTATTAATCTTAATTAAATGCTCTTAATTATTATATTTATTTATGCTTTCCATTATTAATTTTTACATGTATGAAGAATACGAAACATTTCATCAAGATATTAAAATAAAACATTTTGAAAAAAAAGGTCATCGAATCATAATGCAATAGAGTTATAGTTATTAGAACAAATCATCATAACGCAATCATCGAAATTGAGAGTAAAATTTTAATTTTCATAATCAATTTTTATAATAAAGATATTAAGACATTTCATAATTAAAATTATTTAGTTTCCACTATATCTTTTTTTTTTTATTTTAGTTTCTTTCTTTATTTTTTGTTATATATTATTTGATCTCATCGAGAATTGGTTACACAAGTTATTTTTTAGTTAATAATAGGTGATAGATTTCTACGAAGCTGAAGTTCGATCATCAACGCTAGCAATTCTCTTTCTCTTATATAAAGGTTTCGGTTTTTATGTGTACCAAAAAATATATTTTTTATTATTGGCCAAAATAAATTATTTTTACTATTTTTTTCTTTAACAATATTAGTACATCACATGGAAAAATATTGGATAATTTACATGATATAATCATCAACATGATAGTCAAATTAAAATAATAACCAAATTAGTGTCATGAAATAATTAATTTGTCTTGAATTTGGTTTTCCACACTAGCAAACTATTTTTCATGAGTAGGAAGGAAGGTGGTAGTTCTAAATCAAAACATAATAATTGTGAGCTCCATCATTCTTTTCATGTGATATTTTCCTACTTAATCGCGAAGCTGAAATGCTTTGTATGATCCAATTATTCAAGTTTTTTCCTTTTCCTTTAGGTACTTTGATATAAAAATCACTATTTATATTATATTTAAAAAAATCACGGTTCAAAATATAATTATATATATAGATGCTTGTGGAGATGATTTTCTATTTCCGATATGTGTGGATTGATATATTGGAGAAAAAATAAATTAAAAACATAAGTATCTATTTTAGTTAATTTACTTTTATATATTTTTACTGCAATTTCAGTTGTTGTTCATAATTAAAAGTATTTTGAATAATAATTCTTTTCAAATTTCAAATTTAAAAGTTTTTTAGTGAGGTTTTTCTCTATTTAGAGTTTCACACATTTTTCATATCCTTAAAACTATGATTATCAGTACCCAAAGCATATCAGCCGGTATGTATCAATTTTAAAGATTTATCAGTACATTATTGCGTTTTATTAATGCAGTTTGAAGAATTTTTTTTAAGATAGTAAAAAAAATGTAGCTTTTTTATAAGAGGTTTGATGCCAAATTTATTTTCAACATAAAATGTCATGTAATAATTTTTTATTTTACAAAAAAAATTTAATATTCAAGTTCTAAATTTTTAGACTAGTAGTTTTGATTGTTAAATAAATGTCGGTACTCATCCTTCTACCAAAAAAGAAAGGCACGGCAAATGAAATTGGATCATTAATTTCTGTATTTTTTTTTTATCACCTATGCTATAGAGTAGAGATCCTATTGAAATAATTAATAAATGTTGACTTTATCTATTATAATTAAGTAGGAATACTAAGGTAACTCAATAGCAATATATAGACCTATATGGTAGACATTGCAAAAGCTTATATTTTCTTTATATACTCCATCTTTATTTATATATCTATAAATATAAAGTCAGCATGTTTCTATCTTAAGTGTGATAAATTGAGTAAATTATATAAAAATCCCTTGTTAAATATGAATGTCATTTAAAACACCTAGTTAAATTTGCTAAAAAAAGAATATCTATTTTTTAGTATTAAAGAGGACGCAATGGGAAGAGGTTACAAGTGTTGAATTTAAATTCTAAACGTACTGAATATCATCTTTTAAGAATAGCTACATGAATTAACTTAGACTTACTAAATTCTTATTTTAATATCCACATAAAATCCCAATATTAATGGGTTTTTCTTTCTAAAGAATTCAAGAACAATAAAGTTAATGGTAATGAGTCATGTTAATTTCTTGCTTATATTAAAATCCTACTAAAAAACCATATCAAGTTCATTATTCTCTCAATTTCAAATTAGATTAAATATACATTTTCCCCTCAAATTATACCATATTTATTACATTGATATCTAAATAATTAAATTGACAATCATATAATTTGATTAAGTCCGAGATATGTCACAATGTGTGGGTTTAGAAACTTGATCGTAAGATGAAAAATTTTAAAAAAATCAAAATAGGGAGTTACTATCAATATTTTTTTGAAGGTGTGATTGATCATTTAAAAATTTTATTTTTAATAAAAGAATAAAATGAATTTAAAATTTATCAAAATGATCATTTAGTCTACAAAAAACAATGATTGGTTTAAGAGTCGAATACTTGTGGGAAGGATTAGCACCTTTACAATATCAATTAAAATCGATATTAATTGATTGCATGTTATCTTTGAGTTTTAATAAAAATGCTCATAACTTTAATATTTGAAAATTAAATCTTTGAATTTCTTTTATTCCTTACAAAATCATTTTTCTTAAATCAAATCATTTCAAATTTTTAATTTTGAAAACAAATCACTTTATTTTTTTATTTTTGAAAATACATCTAATTATTTTGGATCAAGATGAAAAATTTTTAATATTGAAACATGTCCTTTATTTTCTTATATTTAGGGTTTAGGTTAGGTTTAGGGTTCTGGGTAGGTTAGGGTTTAGGTTTGGTTTAAGATTTAGGGTTTAGAATTAGCTGTAGCATTTAAGGTTAGGTTTAGGATTTAGAGTTAGGGTTAGGCTAGGGTATTGTTTTTACGCTTTGGTTAAGGTTTATGCTATTGCAAAAATGCATGAAATTACTTAACCTAATCCTCAAATGCAAACAAAAAAACCATGTTTTCATTTTGTCAAACACTTTAGGAGCTAAAATCAACCTTAAACTATGTTTGGATTAAGGAAAAGCAAAAAAAATTAAAGAAAAATAAAGGAAAGTAATGGAAACAGAAAAATCTTTCATTTGTTTGAATAAACTTTTAATTTAAAGAAAAAAAGAGGTGAAAACTCAATAATCTTTGGTTTCCCTTGTAATTTTTACTTTTTTAATACTTCAATTTAGGGGAAAAACTAAGGAAAGGAAAGTTAAAAAAAATTTATTTTTATGAAAAGATTATTTTTATTATGACATTAGATTTGATTATATAATTGACACCTTTTACAAAGATAATTTCTTTTTATGAGTATTTTATATAACATCACAGTTTATAAATATTTTATGATTTTTCAAGTTTTAGCAACAAAACAAGCCAAATTATTGTTAGAATAAATTAAAACGTTGAATTAAACACTAAATTAAGAGTAAATTAATAACTAGCTAATATATCTTACTGTATTAAACATGCTTAATTTTGTTCAAAAAGATTTGTTTATACAAGTTAGGTAGTCTAAAGATATATTTGTATATTATATGTTACTTTATTTTAAAAAATGTTATAATTGAAAAAAAAATATTATAATGAATTATTTCATTTCCTTTTCATGATTTATCCAAATAATGATTGTTAAAATTTTTTTCCTTTCCTTTCCTTTATTAATTTTAATTATCTAAACAAGGGGTACATGTACCATTTTCTTTCCTTTCCTTTCTTTTCTTTTCTTTTTATTTCCTTTATTAATATCTATCCAAACATAGCATTATTTTTTTCATCAAAACAACATAAAAACACCATAAATC